AAGATAAGCTGGAATTGAGACGGAAACAATTTCATGTTCTTCTTAGTACCATCCATGAACTGCAGCAAACACTGGAAAATGATGAAAAGCTCTCAGAAGTGGAAGAAGCTCAAGGAACAAGCATGGAAACAGATCCTAAACCATGATCATTCACCATTCCCACAAATATTGAAATAGTAATATGATCTTAGTGTGTTAGAATTTGTTGTGCTCTTTTGAGATAGTCTTGGTAGTAAGCTACTTACTTCACTTTTTAATTAATGCACAGGTCATATTCCTTTACATGAAGAAAAATTAGTATAGACGTATTGTTAAGGTACTGCCTTTTTTGTTAAATATGAAGGTTAGAACAGTATTCAAATATAATAAAATACTATCAAATCAAAAAAAAAAAAAGAACTATTCTTAATTTCCTTCTGCTAGTCTTTTAAGTGTCACTTAAATATTATTACATTCTCAGGGCTGGAGCAATAGCACAGCGGGTAGGGCATTTGCCTTGCACGCGGCCAACCTGGGTTGAATTCCCAGCATCCTATATGGTCCCCTGAGCACTGCCAGGAGGAATTCCTGAGTGCATGAGCCAGGAGTAACTCCTGTGTATTGCTGGGTGTGACCCCAAAAGCAATAAATAAATAAATAAATAAATATTATTACATTCTCTCACAAAACCAACTTGAGATCATTGCAGTATTCAACTCCTCTTTCTTCAGTTAGTTTATACAATAAAGGAGTTTTAAGGTGGAAAAAGAAGCAGTATAGAATTGCAGACTTTTTTTTTTTTGCTAACTTTATATACTTGAGGTTTTTACTTTTTTACTAAAGGCTGCATTCCACCCTTGATGAACCTTTTAAAATATCAACTGCCACTTTGAGAGCATTTATTTCAGTCTCCGTGGCCTTCTTTTCAAGGTTTGTTTCTCTGATTTCCTGGCAGTATACCTATTTCATGGGAAACATTCCTTTTAGAGAAACACAAAGCCTCTTTAGTTTTTGAAATTCTTCCTTATTCATGTTTGCTAGATTTCTACTCATTTACAATTATTTCAGGTTTAGAGATCTTATAGTCTGCTAGACTTTCTTGTAGAATACATACAAACAAACACTGTCCTCCCGTTGTTCATCGGTTTGCTTGAGCAGACCCAGTAACATCTCCTCTTTGAGACTTGTTGTTACTGTGTTTGGCATATCTGAATATGTCACAGGTAACTTGCCAGGCTTTGCTGCGCAGACGAGATACTCTCTGTAGCTTGCCGGGCTCTCCAAGAGGGGCGGAGGAATCAAACCAGGCTCTGCCGGGCTGGCTGTGTGCAAGGCAAATGCACTACCGCTGTGCTATCACTCCAGCCCATAAAACATACAATTTCCCCAAAATATACTTGATACGCATATAATCATGTACATGCCATATAAACTATCTGCATACCTACATACATACAAATATATATAGATGTAACTCTTATGCTAGTCTTGCTTCCTGCAGAACTTCTTAAGGGTGTTTCAAATGACTCATCCTTATCACATGATTTTCAATGTCATTGGCATTGTTGGTGTAAAGCATACAGGTTCAGAAGGATAGCTATACCATTACCTTCCCATTCTCATCTCTAAGTATTGGTGTATTACAGAAAAGGTCAATTACATCACGTTCATTATTTGAGATCTAAAATAGCAAAGTCTAAAAGTTTCCTTCTTGAAGCAATTACCTAGCATAAAGGTCTATTGTAATAGGAGTAGTCAGTTACTGGCTCCTCTATGAAGTCAATGGTTATTTCAGGCCCAGAGCTATCCTGCTGCTGAGTGCGAGGAGTGCAGGTGGGCCAAGCTTTGTAAAAACTCAGGAGCATGATGCTTCTACCAATATGTATGAAAAACTTTATGTTCATGTCAATTAAATGCAAAAGTAACTAACATGCTTTGCAAATCTGGAGTCCAAATGGTAAACAGGATGGCAATGTTGACAGGACAAACATTCCAAAATTTACACAAACATAAAAACTAAGCTTAAGGAAAACAAAGTCTGCATAAAAGCAGCAGATAAACATTCTTAGATGCCATTTTACACATTTTTGCCCTAAAGTGGGTTTAAACTGATTAAGAAAAATCTTAAGTTTAAATAACTGGAAATCTGTTTCGGAAAACTGGAATGGATTCTAACATGAATGAAGAGTTTTAAAATGTGTGTTAGATGATGCTTTTCTCTTCTGTGAAAACAAATATTTTACAGAAAATAAGCATATTGCCTCAAAGGCAGAAAAATGAACCTTGAAAATAAGGCCACAGAGGGGAGGAGCAGAGAGATGGCTACATGGGCTGGAGCAAATGCTTGCCCAGAGAAGATCTCAATGGGCCCTAAGAACCACTAGATATGACCAAAATATTTAAAAGAAAAGAAAATAAGCCATATCTGCCATCTTGCTAGCGGAGCAATGGCCCAGATCCACAACTAATCTTGAAAAGAACATTATGCCACCAAATCTTTCCAGGCAGACTCATCAGGGTTGAAAAGTCTGGGGCCTTTCTGGAATAGGGTCAAGTGAATTCCTCTTTCTGCCCAAAGGCACAACTGCCTGAACCTGACACCTTCCAACCTAGAAAAGGCCCAGCTTCACAAATGAGTCTCACCAAATTACCAAGCTACCAACGAGTTCTAGCTCCTGGACTACATGACTTGCAAACATGGCTACATGACATCTTCCAAGTTCCATAGTACTGTCAGTCCAGTAGGATCACAGAAAATCTGATTGGAAAGTTGCATAGAAGCCCGCCAACCTCAATAAGCTTCAACAATAACACAGAAGGCTCAACTAGCACCAACAACCTAGTAAATGCCTAGACAATGACTTTAGAAATACCATTTGAGATATAACAATTACCACAAATTGCCTTTTATTGATCTAAGTTTTGATCTTTCATTTGCCTTTGTGTTGAAACAAACAATATGAAGTAAGTTTGTACCTGCAACAGGACAGGCTGGAGTGGTGGATGAGAAACAGCATATTGGTGGAGGAAAGGGCACACTAGTGGGATTGGTGTTGAAACATTTAATGTGTGACACAACTGTATTATGAACAACTTGGTAAATCAAGGTGTTCTAATTTTTGTTGTAATTGTTGTTGGAAGAGTGGCAGGTAGTGTTTGCTCCAAGCAGACAGAAGGTGTAGACAGCTCTGGCAGGACCGGGCACAGCACTCCCACCAGGAAGGAAGAACACTTTGGATGACAGCAATTTTGGAACTGGAATATTTTCTTCAGTTCAGTGGTAATATTAACTGGGACTTACACAGGAACCTAACTCAGCTGGTACTGCAAGCCAGAAAAATTCCAAACTGAACACCAGGGAGAAGCAGGTTCTCCATAGGGTGGGAGAATGTTTATGCACCTGCAAAAGGATGTAGTGTAAGCCTTAAAGGAAAGCAAAATATCTCTTCTTAAGGAATGAGAAGTGAGCTTTCTGTTCTCCTGTTTGTAGAGAACTAAATTCGGCTGGAGGTTTGGGGGTGAGGAGATCTGAAAGGGCTTACTCCTTTCCTTTTTTTTTTTCCTGATAACTCTTGTTTATTTTTCTCACACATAACCCCAGGGCATGTTTTTCTACCCTTTTTTTTATACGTCCGGCTTTTGTTTTTATTTAATATTGTTTTTGGGACATATCGGACTGTGCTCAAGAATTAAGTGAACCCGGTGGTGTAGGTAGTCCAAAGGGACAAACTTCCATTGAGAAAATAAGCCCTGGGGTTAAGGGAATCTAGTTAACAGGGCCTTACTGTGCGTTAGAATAGGTAACAATGCATTACAAAAATTATAAGTTGCAACTATGTTGTGAGAGCGAGGGGATCATTGTGTTCATTTTACAACAAGCATTAACATCAAACCATTGTCACCAACAAGGCACAGGCGTATCTTTTGGATAGGGATTAAATTTTTGGGTGGGGGAAAGATGAGGAAGGGGGCACACTCTACTGTGCTCAGGGCTTACTCCTACTCCCTATCCTGCACTTGGGGATCATTCCTGGCGATGCTTCGGAAATTATATGTGGTGAGGGAACCATAACGTAGTACCTGGGTTGGAACCCAAGTGAGCAGCAAGCAACTTACCCATTCGATACTCTCTCTCCAGCCCACACAGTGTATCTTTAAGATACCAGACACAGTTGTCATAGATTTAGGTAACCCTGGGCAGCCCCAGCCCGCTAGGTTGCCCGCAGGAAGTGGCTCACAGTTTCTTCCTGCACCACCTCCCAACACGCAGAGAAGAAGCTTCTCTGCGCCCCAGCTGTCTGGCAAAAGCATCTCTGCGCCCCAGCTGCCTGGCAACCCGAGCTGGGGTGCCAGCGCCCAAAACGAAAGCCCGCGGGGACACTCGGGCCGCTGCTCTGAGACTGTACAAACTAGTTGCACTCCGGACAGGCCAGCTACACTATTCTATTGAGCGCTGGCTGTTTCCCAGGCTTGATTCGTGAATTTGAACAAAACTCTCCCGAGAGAGCAAAATACGGCTGGATGCCGCCCGAATCTTCCCTTGACTTGGACGTGAAATCGAGTGGGTGTCCCCCAAAGAGACCACTCCTCGCTCCTGCACCCCCCGCCCCCTCCGCCCCCTGGCCTTCCGTTCCTTGTCTGCAGCCTCCAATTCTCGCCAGCCAAAGGCCTCACCCCAACACAGACTCCGCGCTCCTCCTGACTGTGCCAGGGAGCGACCCCCGTCCCCAGCCACAGGGGGAGGACTTTTCGGGGCGCGGCTAAAAGGCACTCGGGCTGCTCGCCTGCGCTCCCCCCCTCCACCCACGTAGGATGCCTCGACTGCCACCAAGTCCCTCGCTGCGAAGAGTTAAGTCAAGTGGGGCCGCCCCAACCCCACCCCAAGCGGCGGGGCCACTCGGGCGAGCCCCCCCACTCTTCCTTGCCACCCGGCACCCCTTCCCCGGACGCGGCCCCGGCGCTCCTCCTCCCGGCCCCCCTTGGATGCCCCCCTGGATGCTCGCGCCCGCGGCGCCCAGTACCGATGCCCTGGATGAAGACGAAGCCGGTGACCAGGAGCACCGGGTGCCAGTTGAACTCGAGCGCGGTGCCGTCCCAGCCGAGCCCCTCGCGGAAATGCAGGACCCAGACGAGGGTGAAGAGCACGGCCAGGAAGCCCACGAGCAACGCCGACACCAGCAGCGCCAGGAAGCCGTAGTAGCCGTCCATGGCCCTCAGCACCCTAGGGAACGCGGCGGGGCTGCGGGCAGCGACTAGTGGCCGCGGTCCCCGCCCGGAGGAGGTGCCTTTTGGGGCCGCGGGCCGGGGCGGAGCGGGGCGGGGGCGGGGACCGGGCGTCCTCCCCGGGATGCGCTGCGAGCGCTTGCCCAGACGCCAGCCAAGCAGAGCCGAGCGGGGGCGCCCCCGACCCGATGGCAGAGCCCTCCTGGGCACCCCCTCTGAAGGAATCCGGGCCGCTGTGCCCAGGCCCGCCGCTTTCTACCAACTTTCCCCCTTCTCTTCGCTGGTTTGCCAGGGCGCAGTGGGGGTGCGTGCTCGGGTCTCTAGGGAGTGGCTTCTTTGGTGGGGTGTGTGTGTGTGGGGGGGGGGGATTTTGGTGATTTTGGTGCCTTCTGAGCACCCCTTAGCCCTCTATCTTCTCTCCACCAAACAACTGGCTTCTTTGTTTGGGGGGGCCACACCAGGCTGTGCTTCAGGGCTTACTCCTGGCTCTGCGCGCTGGGAGCACTCCTGGCAATGCTCCGGGAACCATACGGGATGCTGGTGTTAAAACCCTGGGTGGACCGCGTTACAGGCAAATGCCCTACCCGCTGTACCATTGCTCTGGTACCACCTGAATTGTCTCTCTTTGATGTCAAGGACACACCAAGGAGGAACCCATGGGATAGTCTGGGCTTGGCCTTACTGAACTAGGAAACTATTTAGTTTTCCTTCAAAGAACCAGCACAGACACCTCCTGGACCTTGGACTTGCCTCACTAATTAAAATGGCTCTTAGAAGTGCTCGTCTTGGGTCAGAGTTATAGTTCAGCAGATAAGGCTCTTCATTTGCACAGGGATACGTGGGTTCGGTCCTCAGCATTCAATCTGTTACTCTGAGCACTGCCAGGAGTGATTTCTGAGCACAGAGATAGCCAGGAGTAAGCCCTACTACCAGTTGTAGCTCAAAAACCTTTTTTAAAAAAAATGTCCACCTGCCTACCTCTATTTGGACCAAAGTCTCATCTTGATGCCTTAACACTCTCTCCTGGCCTCTTTCCAGCATTATTGTTACCCTCCTCCCACAAATCAGAGAAGCTGGTGTCTCTACTGCTGAGAAAGAAGAACAGTGCTGGTAAATCCTAGAAAATCTAGGTCAGCCTAAGTGTGCACAGGAAGTAAGAGTGGTTTTCAATGGAAAAGTTTGATTTTGAGTCATGGAAGTAGGAGCACCACATCTGGCTTGGTAGAGAGACAAAATTCAGGTGAAGAGTAAGAGACTTCACTCTTATTAGTGTTTCCCTTGGTGAAGGGACAAAGTGCCCCAGTAAGTCTATAGACAAGAAGCACTCGTCCCAATACACAAGGCTTTCAATGCTCAGGCTCAGCCTGGTCTCCCTAATTAATCCTTCCTATAACCCAAGGCCCTGAAGTTCATGACTGCAGGCTACTCTCCCAGATCCTTATCACCACCCTCTTCACCTGCATCTTTTCTTCTAAATTGGCCAGATTCCAGCTCCAACTAGAAGTCTTTCTGGCCTGACACTTTCGTCCACCACATCTCCACCAATAACTCTGCACCAAGTTATGCTAGAACCAGCTGCTCCTGTGGCTCCACGTACCAGACTCTGTGAATCTGAATTACTGTTGAGTTCTTTGCATTGAGTAGTCGCTCACTAAACGTTTGCTGGGAGATGAATGTGAGGACTGTGTGTGGCAGTCAGAATCTTGGCAGGAAACAGATGGCACATTCCAATTGGATTATTTAATAGTGAACGGGGCTGTTTACAAAATTGTGGGCAGGGTAGACTAAAAGGTTTCAGGAAAGGCACACACACACATACACACACACACAGAGAGAGAGAGAGAGAGAGAGAGAGACACAGAGACAGAGACAGAGACAGAGACAGACAGAGACAGAGACAGAGACAGAGACAGAGATTCTGTCATAAGGGTAAGCTGACTGAGGCAATGGTCTTGGATTGAGGCCTGCAGGAATTCCACAGAAGGAAGAACAGAGGCAAGATACATAGTCCAACATTCTTCTCTACCTTTCAGTCTCTTTCCCAGGGACCTTAAGAACTAAAGCTACTTTTAAGCCAAAGGGCAGAGTACGTTAAATAATCTGACAGGGTAGAGCAGACAGGGTGAAAACTGAGCCATAATAACAAATAGACTCTCTCATTTTATCTTCTCATCTTATTTGCTGTTATGCCATTTCTTTTCCTCTGTGCTTTTTAGCTTGTAATTGTGCAATAAGGATGTCACGCATCTGCATTCTTTCCCCTAAAAGTAGTGTTTGTCCCTATTTAACTTCTTCATCCCCTTCACCCTATACCTTCATTCTTATATTGTTTTGCTTTGTGACAGAGGCAGATAAGGTTAATCTCCAGAATTCTAGACCACATTGAACATAATGTCTCAGGAGAATGAAAACATGTCACATGGAATGAATGGCATTGACTCATCCTAAAATTGCAAGTCATTTAGAAAAAATTTCAATATTTTGGATGGGTTGTATCACACCCAGAAGTGCTCAGAGACCTCATAGCACTAGGGATCAAACTAATGCTTGTGCTACATCCCTTTGAGTCTTTTCACCTGTCCAACAACTTCAACTTGGGTTTGTTTTTTTGCTTTTATTTTTTAAAAAAATATTTAATCGAATCACCATGATAATTACAAAGCTATTCATTATTCTGTTTCAGTCATACAATATTCCAACACCCATCTCTCCACCAGTGTAATTTCCCAGCACTAATATCCCCAGTTCCCCTTCTGCCTACACCCAACTTCCCCCCATCCCAGTCTGCCTTTATGGCAGACATCTCTCTTCTCTCTCTCTCTCTCTCTCTCTCTCTCTCATTTTGGGCATTATGATTTTAAAAACATTACTGAAATATCTTTATCTACTTTCAACACTCAGTTGATTATCATCTACTTTCAACACTCAGTTGATTATCATCTACTTTCAACACTCAGTTGATTATCCAGAGCGGTCACTTCCAACTATAGTCATATTGGACCCTCCTCTATCTTAACTACCCTCTGCCCCACACACACTTGTGGTAATTTCCAACCATTGACCATTCCTGGTTGCTGTTTTTTCTGGCCTTGAACACTAGTCTCATACTACTTTTTTTACAGCCCACAAATGAATGCAATCATTCCATATGTGTTTCTCTTCTTCTGAATCATTTCACTCATCATGATACTTTCCATGTTCATCCATTTATAGGCAAATTTCACGACTTCAAAATTTCAACTTTTAATTAGTAAAGTTGTTTAATTTGTGTAAAAACTTGTCACTTGAAAGAGAAAAATTTACACAATTATTGTGATTTAGTGTAAACTTTTTAAAATGCTATTCAATAATAGAAGTTTCCCTCAGGAGATAATAAAAAATTTTTCACCAATACTAGAAAATATTTGGGGTTGGAATGATATTACAGTGGCCAGAGCACTTGCCTGGCATGCGGCTTACCCATTACCAGGCTTACCCATTACCCATTACTAGATTACCAGGTGCCAATCCTACTGGCACCACATATAGTTTCCTGAGTGCCACCAGGAGTGATCTCTGAGCACAGAGCAAGGGATAAGCTCCTAGTACTGCAGACATTGGCTCCAAAACAAACAAAAAAAAACAGAGAAAAAAAAGTCTAGAAAAATTTTCAGCAGTGATAGGGAAGGGATTTCTCGTGTGTGTGTGTGTGTGTGTGTGTGTGTGTGTGTGTGTGTGCGCAAGGGCAATGATTAAAAAAAACAGAATTTTCCTAAAAGCCTGTGATAAAGTTGCATATTTTTAATTGTCCTGGACATGGATGTGGACTGCAGAGTAAGCAGATAGGGCTTGAAGTAATAGTGCTAGAAAATCCAACCCAACCCTACCATGGGCTCCCCCATAAGTCAATGTTCCATTTCTTTGGATGCAGCTTGGAGTCTAGTGTTGTGGTGTAAAGTATGAGATTTGAACACACTGGCTTATATGGACTATATGAAGCAAAGAAAAAAAATCAAAAGCAGGAAAAGTGAATTCATGTATCTTGTCCTCTCTTCTGCCAGACAAGAGACAGAGATTCGGGGATTAGAAAACTGTCTCGGATGACTAAGATTAAGCAACTCACTCCTAACACTATGACTCATGATGTCTAGGACAAGTCTTGTCAGCGGTCAAGATTTAGGGAAAGAAGTGGTGGAGGATTACATTTTGGGGTTTTTGTTGTTTTTCTTGCAAAGAACACACAATGTATTATGCAACAGCCTCGCATCCCACCAGTCCTAGTTTGATCCTTGGCGCCACATATAAACCTATGAGAAACTTTAGAGGTCACCCTGGAATACAGAACCAGGAATAGTTTCTGAGTGCTGCTTGATGTAGCCCACAAACCTTAAAATTTAATAATAGGAATAGTTCTAAGGAACACAAACTGTATGAATGAGAAGACTAGACTTTCTACCTGTGCAGTCTTCAAGGGGCAAAAACCAAAAATGTCTGTGTTCTCCTCTAAAGGAAATACTGAGCAAAAAAATGCTTGTCAATGAAGCTCTTCTGCACTACTAACCCAGGAGGCTCTGAGAGCTACCTGCCCCGTGATGGCGACAGGAGCAAGGAAAGATTTTATTTGGACCTGGCCACAGTCCAGAGAAACTCAAAGAGGCAGGAAGTTACTCTCTTCCCAGGGGAGACCAACAATTTGCTGAAGGGGAAGCCAACACAAGGAGAGGGAAGAGGTCTGTGTAGAGAACTCGGGAACTTGGCTCTATAGTGATGAGGAGCAGGGTGCTGTCTTGGTAGAAGTCTGTCAAAGAAGAGGGTTCAAGGAATTGGACAGTGTAGAGAAAAGAGAAATAGGCCAGCAGCAAACTGTTACCTTTCAGAACCAGTTGGTCTTAGGAGGGCAGTTCCCAAGTCCACAAGGCCCCAAATGCAAAAACACAAGAATACAGAAAAGATAAAAATATAATTAAAACAGCTTAGAACTGTTGTTGAAAGAGAAAGGGCATTTAAAAACATATTCAAGGGGCTGAAGAGATAGTACAGTAAATGGAATGC